TTTGCCGTAATATAGTCCCAAGTCTAAATTGGCTCCTGCAAATCCTTCATGTTACTTCTTACTTTTCATTTGCAGTCGACATGATTAGAGCTCAACGAGAATAATTGGTATCATTATTGAGTCATTTGCAAACAAAATGCTACTAGTTCCCATTCACTTCCATTGTTTATGCTAGGCAAAGGTAGACGGATAGCTACCAGCCCAGGGGAATTACTGTGGTGGTTACAAAACGCGTTGTCTCACTAATCTAACTCTGGGGAATGTGGCAACAGACAAAATGTCACCTTGACGTGGAATTTCCCTTTGACCTATGTCGATAGCGAAAGCTAACTTCAAGCCCAGAAATCTAGACGGACAGGAGCAGAAGCTAAATAATTTAGCGCTGCATGATGTCGGTCCAGCCACGCTCCACTGGAACCTCCGCAGCCTCCGCCAGTCCGGTGGTTTGCCAATCATAGTGCTTTAATTGGTTTGGTTGGCCAATCACGGGGCTCTATCAGTTTAGTGGGCCAATCCTAACCCGAACCATACAACAGAACAAAGTTTTATAAAGTTTACAATCTGAATGGACTATTACAGCGTCCTAATCTACTTTGGTGTTAGCCTTGCTGGAAGTAGCTGTTAGCTTGCCCAAATTAGCTTGTTTATTTTAACTGGGGCATCTGCAACCAGTAAAATATTTATTTTTTCAACTTTCCACAGAACAAATTTTAAAATACCAGCAGAACTGTATTTTAAACTGTATATTATACAAAATAATCCAGATAAACACGGTAAATGGAGCGCTAAGGCTACAGCTGGAACACGTGCAGCCCAATCAGACACTAATCAGCCAATGGGCTCCATCCAAGTTACTTTATGTGGCCTTTAAAAGCAACTGCTCACAGAAAACACGGGGCCTGGACAAATGATATCCGAGCAGAGTTGATAAGCATCTGGAGAGGAAAGCTTTGCAGCAGGATTTCCAGTGTGTATCGGAAACTCCCCGGTAGCGCAGGTTGGGTGGTGGCGACGGGTGTTGGGGAAACCGTAGAAGCTGGTAGAGCGCCTATCTGGCACAGATGCCACACCTCAATACTAACACTATTCCTCTACTCTCTCTCTCTCTCTCTCTCTCTCTCTCTCTCTCTCTCTCTCTCTCTCTCTCTCTCACACACACACACACACACACACACACACACACACACTCACACACACAACGATAGATAGTCAATTAGGGCTTCTGCTGCATTAACCTAATTAGCGAGTGAGTGAGAACCGGGATCCAAACCTTGGATATTGTTTCATGTCTCCATGGCACACCAACTCCCTCTCTCTCTCTCTCTCTCACACACACACACACACACACACACACACACACTCACACACACACACACACACACAGACACACACACACACACACACACACACACACACACACACACACACAGGAACTTTGGAGTGGTTATCAAGAGCCAAAGTGCAAGGTTGTCAACTCTACACACACACACACACACACACACACACACACACACCCATCCAACCATCGAGGTAACATCTGTCAACAGCATGCTGTTCATTATTAATCAATGAGCTTCTATGATTGTTCCGACGCCTTCATGTCCAACAGCCGAGGTTTGGGCGGACCGAAGTGCGTCGGTGAGCTCGAGCTCTCGGTAAAGAGAGCGAGCTGAAGGCAGGAAGGTTCGTGTCAGAGCTGGAGACGCCGCAGCATAAAAGAACGGCCCCTCAGCACACACACACACACACACACACACACACACACAGACACACACACACACCAGAATGACTCAAGTGGAATGAATGTCGGTGTGAGGCTCTGCTCATTGTTTTATTCGTGTAGCCGATGCTGTTTGAGGGACTCTGAACCACACGCTACTTTGGCGGTTTCTAATTGGGCTGAAAAGTCTGCCGTTAAACTCCAGCTGCAAATGTTTAGGAGTCGAGCAACAGCAGACAGGCTTGGCTCTCCCGTATTTCAGCTCCTCGCACGAGAAGTGAAACGTCTTTGAGAAACTGAAGACGTCCAGTCGTCTTCATCTGATCGCTTCTGGAGTCACCAGTAAGGTTTGGAGAAAGAGAAACTCTAAGTTTCCACCGTGATAACAGATTTAAATAAACAAAAGTAAACCCCACAACCCCGGGTCTAACCCCAGGTGGATCCCTTCTGCAGGTTTCTTTACTTGCTCCACGGATACATTTTTAGTCTGTTGCAGGGATCGGCACACCAAGGGCACCAATCTGGTCCACAGAGCACTGAACCTTCATGTTCCTCTTGCAGCTGGCGGGTCCACAGACGGACAAGCCCAGGTAACTAGTTCAGACTGGGCCTGGCCACACCCCATGAGCCAAAGCCTGGCTAAAAGGTGATCAAACATGGGCCCCACCCCAAGCCTAGCTCCAGGGAGAGGTCTCGGTAACCCTCCAGGCTAGATGCAAAGTCCCCCAGACAGCACGGCTCCCACGATCAAGTTAGTCCACCATGGTGAGGTGGTAGTTCAAGAAGGAGTGGATGAGAATCAGCACCCCAACTCTGAGGCCCTGGGTCTGGACTAGAAGATGGTGCGTGACCACCTTTAGGTCAGAAGAGGTTCTGTTTCAGGTGAAGGAGGGAGGGTGATCGACCGGTGGATGGGGGTGGCGTCTGCAGAACTGATGTGATGTGATGAACAGGAAGCTCGGCC